AGAAACTATCAATAGATTTTTGCTCAATCATTTGAATATTTTAAGTGGGGCTACTAAGAAAGCTCGAGCATTAATTAAAGAAATCAACTTCGACGTGAACTCTACAAGATTAGAAGCTGATCAAACTGTGTCACAGAAAGGAATTATAAGTGAAAAAGTGTATAATAAGGAAAATATAAAAGCAGAACTTACTGTCAGTACTAAAGAAGTTGAATTGTTTTGTGATGCAATCAATAAATCTGTTCCTATCCAGAATGGGTCTCATTGTGAAATAGTGAATATTAAAAGTAAACAAGTGAAGCTTATAAATACCTGTGCATTTAATTCGATATTTGAGCTGCTGGTTCATTCAGCTAAAAACTACAAATCTACCAGGGAGTATTTTGACAAATTCCAGGATGAAACAAACATTTTTAAACTGTTTCATCGTTACATCAATGATCAACTCAGTTACCAACAACTGTATCAATTTAGAGCAGAATTGATTTATTCATACCTTGGCTTAAATCAAAATGAAAATTCTACCACAATCAATTGTGAAACAAATGTTAATACGTTAATTCATCAACTTTTGGGATCGACGCAAGGCTCATCAAATTTAAGAAGTTGTGAAGAATGCCTTTGGAGCAAAAATGAAAAAGGAAGACCTCTGGTAGTATCAAGTTTGAATTGTATTTTTTGCTGATTACAAATTGTTCGAAAAATCATCGAATCTTGTTCAACGTTTGCACCGTGAAAAATATTGGTATGATGACGAAGATTTCACTAGCATGGCCAAAAAGATTAAGATAAATCCGAGCCTGTCACTCCACGACCTGGTTCTGTTACAACCAAAACAAGCAGCGAAACAGCTGACATTAAGAAACTACTACGAGTTTGCGTGCTCAAAAAAATTGGGTTCGCTTCTTAAAATGCATAAAAAGGCTTGTGCTCTGCATCTGTGCGAAAAACTATCGAAAAAATTTTTTTGGCGATGGGCACTGGATCCTTTCTTAAAATTGACGCATTATCGACTGCCAATTCTTTGCTGTGAAATGATCATCCAGAACCTGGGGAACGAAGACTTATATAATATTTGCTTGGCGGCTACAAGCCAAAGTCACAAAAACAAACGTAAAAAAATTACTAAAACAAAGGCGAAAATAAGTAATATAAAAAGACAAAGGACCTGTAGAGGCTAGAAATGCTCTGCAATGGTTACAAATAAAAAGTTTAAAAATTATAAAGGCTTTTTTGTACTCTTGTTATGAAATTTATAAAAGAAGCAAATAGTATATTACTGCCCTAGGCCGCGAAAAAAAGAAAATTCCCAGAGTACGTGTAATTAGTGGCCGAGGCGAAGCCGAGGCCGATAAACACGTGCTCTGGGGTTTTCTTTTTATCGCGGCATAGGCCTGTATACTATTTTTCATACACAGTGGCCCGAAAATCGCTCTTCCCGCTTTGCGCAGCGGCAGGGAAGTAGTCACTTTCGGGCCGCTGGTATGAAAAAAAATATTGATTTGTTGTTTATTGGCTCGGCGACTACAAGCCAAAGTTTCTAATGGTGTTAATCATATTTGCCGTAATTTGTATGTTTGGTGTATTACGTTTTCCATGTCATTCTAATAAATAAACTTATCTTAAGGAGGTTCGATAGCACTTTCAAGGGGCAGGCGGGGCGAGGGGGTCGCCTATGCTTATACACGGGCACGAAGAAGTGATACCAACTCATGGGAACAAAATATTATTAGCAAAACAGCATGCAGCGGCCGCACGGCACTTATAGGCAAAATTGCTTAACTTCTATCTCGCTGAAAAACCCCCTAAACGCACTTAAAAAAAATGTGACATATGATTTCGATTGGAAATTTCCTCAGCTTTCCGATGGTGAAGTCAGATTTTCAAAAATTTTCCATTTTCCACGGAAAATTGTAAAAATAAACTTTTAACATTAAATATCTCAAAAAACGCATTTTTAAGATTTTTCAAAGTAGTCTCAATCGAAAGCTGAGGAAATTTCCCATCGAAATACATATTTTCCAGAGAGTACATTTTATTTTTACTAGCTGAAATACAGCGATGAACGTGTAAAAACGCGACATTTCGGCTCGCGTGGCTCAGAATCTCACGTTTTTAGACTTGTTTATTGAGCATTCGGTGTTGTAAAACGAGTCGTTTTTTTTTCAAAATGATCAATACCTTCTTGGCCTTCTAAAAAATAGTTTTTTTTTTATTTCTTAAGTCTAATTCGTTTGCATAATGCTTTTTTTGTGACATTGTTGTAACTTTCCCCATAAGACCCATGTATAAGACGTCGTTTTTGATTTTTTTTTCTCGAAAACTAGATTGTAGATCAATCTAAGATTTTAACAGTGCATTCATTTCTTATCAAAGATTGAAATAAAAAAGTTTCAGGCATTTCTAAAGACATGAAGTTTACTATCGAACCTCCTTAATATTGACTCTTTTGTGTCATAACTTTATCTTTTCTTACAATGTCGTCGAAATTTTAAATAATGCCTTCATAAAGTTGTCGCCAATGAATACAAGCAAAGACATAAAAGCTCTCTCGTATATATGTTTCATATGCCTCACGCCATCGTCCGCTTATTGATTTTTCCCTCATATCGATGCATGTGCATACGCGTCTCGCAGTTTCCCGCGCCGAAGTACGACTTTGTTTATACGCAGGCACAGTGTCTGTTATATCGTGCGGCACCGAATACCGCGTGTATCGCCCGCGCCCAACCCCCCGCAGCGCAATGTCACATATAGGCGGTCGAGATTTTCATTTTTTTTCCTTTTTTTTTTTTTTTTGCACCCGATGACAACGCGTCGACGTAGACGTCGACGACGAGCCGTCGTATTGCACATTTTATCTGCTATGCAGATTGACTCGGGCCCGATTGAATGGTGGTGTGTATTGATTTCTCCTCTTACTCCTCCTCCGATGTATACGATTTTCGCTCACGTAGCTAATAATAATGCACCGAGAAAGAATTTCGTATTGCTCATACAGAATTAAACAGTCGGTGTAAATTAATCCCTACGATCTTTCCAGTCGTATAAGCTCGAGATTTTGACATTGACCAAATCGTTTCAATTCTGTTCTCGCAAGCTCACGTCTCGAGTTTCAAAGAAGCGCCCGTCGCTGATTACAATGCAAGCTTCACTCGGTAGCCAGCCTGCACGCTTATAACATATAACGTATATGAACCGGCATATTTTTAGAGCTTAATCCGTACAGCGTACGTGGCCCAACGTGTAAGCCGCCGCATAATTCCCAATTATGAAAAACCTTTAGCCCGCCGCTGGAACATTGGGTAAAATTTTCTGCGAAATATAGTACGATGTTAATTTTGAGTACGTATTATACACGACATTGTGTAAGGTACTCGTCACCTTTTGTATGCACACACACACACGTCACGGAAGAGATAATCAAAACAGCGCGTCGAGCGATAGATTTTCAAAGCGATCGAGTATCAAAGTATATTATATATAAAGACGAGTATAGTTTGTGTCATAATTATGCTTGGCTAAACTCTCTTTCACTCCGCTTCATAATCTCTCTCCCCGTGTATATATACACTCGGGCGGCACTTTGAACTCCGAATAAAAAAAAAGTCTCTGGCTCTATCTATCTATCTATCTATCTTTTGCGCTGCTGCTGCTCCTCCTCGTGGCCTAGAGACTCGGAGGAAAAAATTGGTAGAACTATATATAACGGCTACGCTCTGTGCCAGAGCTAGCGCGATGATAAAAAATAAAAATAAAAAAAAACGTTGTAAAAGTACCGCTGTAACCGTCGCAGCGCAGAGCTTTTATACACGAGCCGACTCCTCGTACATTTTTTACTCCTCGCCGCTACATATAATGATAATAATAACGATGATAATAACCAAGTCTATTTTTTTTTCAGCTCTTTATAGACCTGTACGTGTATATGCCGCGATAGGCTTTAGCTGCAATTCGAAAGCTCGAGTCGCGGCCGCCCCCTTTAGCCGCGTTATAGAGCCGAGTACCTTTTTTCATTACCTTTGATTGTTCGTCGTTCCATGCGGTTATTTACCCACGCGACATCTCCGACGTTTCGCAAATGAATTAATCCACGCGCGGCGTATATATATATTTTTCTTTGCGTTTGTTATTTCGCAAAATTTAACCCTGTGCGCGCGGGCAAATTTTCAAGTGTTTATATAATTTTCCATTCAAGTGCGATGATCGTTTGTGTATACGTTATATTATTACACAGAGGCTTCGGTAATACACCACGTCGGCCGACGCGTCTTTACGAGACCTTCGATCTAAATTTAAACTTATTTTCATCTCAGTCTTTATCTCTCTCTCTCTCTCTCGTTTTACTTATCGATCGTTTCGTCACAATGATTGTACCAACACTTTGATGAAATTTCAAAACTTGGGGATTATTAAGGAGATTCTCGAATGTCTGCAGCTGCAGCTTATAAGATACTTAATCCGCTTCTCTACAGCAGCTGCTGCTGCTGCTGATGCAGCGAGTATTGGCTTAAACGTACCGAACGCGGGGGTGCAATTTATAAACATAGATTTCTCGAGTCTTGTATTATTAGTTGAGAGAAAACTTCCAAGACTCTCATGTATAGCGTATTCGTATAGATTAATCGAGATATCGTCCCGGCGGCGCTGCGTGAAGTTGCAAGCGTATATGCATGAATGGCAAACGAAGTTGTGTCGCGTAAAGAATCCTAATTTTTATATGGAAAAGTGTTTTACAATTGCGCTGTGGATTGTTCGAAAACATAAATTACAGAATTAAGAGTATCAGCATATCATTAGCTTACAATTAATGTGCAAGTACTATAGGTCAGCGACTCTTGAACAAATATTTTTTAGTGCCTTAAACGAGTTTATTCTCATTCAGTGTTCATTCAAATTAAACGTAATGTTAGAATTAGCCATTCGCTGCGTTGTAATACATAACGGAAAACCAGGACGTCTAATATTATACATTCAAATTAACTCAGAATAAACAGTGCTTCATTTTCACGTACAAGTTTATTGAATTTTTAAAGTAAACATTGTTTTAATACGACGAGATAATGTAACATCGTTGGAGTCCATGATAACGTTGAAAATTTAAGTGTTCCAATTAGTCTTTTGAACAAATACTCAAGTTCATATTTTTGTTAACATTGAATTTACATATGTTATACATTAATTGGGCCACAATGCGTGAATGAAGCATCGCTTCAATGTATTTTTTCAGAGTTATTTTTTGATAAAATTTTCTTTCTGCTTATATCGCAGTTATACGTGATGTTATTACGTATCACATCTATGTGTAAATTAAAATTACTTTTAGTATTTTTTCTGCATAAATCACATATGGCTGTGATACCATAATGCTCGTCATCACTGTGAATTTTGACACGATCCTTAATACCATTATGCACCGTATCGATGTGGTTTTTGAGATAATTCTTAGATTTTTATAACTGTAAAAATGAAAAGAAAGCCTGTCGAATCTAATAATCGAAAATAAATTACGCTTAGCTTAGGCTCAATAGACCAGTACATATCAGAACGATTCCAACGATGCAAGCCACGTTTGATTCTCACGAGATGCTGTTGTAATATACGCAGATGCCAATGTACATTTTTAAATTTTGTTCTGCATGCATCGCATGCTTAATCGATGCCTTGATGTAATGATTTTAAGTGCATACAGAGACGACCTTTTTGTGAAAACTTTTTTCCGCATATATCACAAGAATTAGTTATTTGGATTTGGAGATGATTCTTTCTTGCGAATGTCTTCCCGCACATTTGACGTGTGGCTGATATCTTGGTGTGATGATTGTATATGCCTACTGAGATTATCCTTTTGTGAAAAAATTTCCCCACGTATATCACATGCATGGGTAATGCCTTGGTGAGATAATCGTACGTGCCTATTAAGATTACCCTTTTGAGTGTATGACTTTCCGCATGTATCACATTTGCAGGTGATACCTTGGTGCAATGATTTTACGTGCCTTTTAAGATCAGATTTTTGAGTAAACGTCGTGCCGCAAATATCACATGTGTGAGTGATACCTTGATGCGATGATCGTACGTGCTTTTTGAGATTACTGTTATTTGAGAATTTCTTTCCACAGATACTACAAGGATGGGTGATTTTATTGTGTATCGCATCGATATGGCTGTGGAGATTACTTTTTTGTGAAAATTTCTTTCCGCATGCATCGCAGTTGTAGGTGATACCTTGGTGCGATGATTGTACGTGCTTTCTGAGATAACTCTTAAATGAGAATTTCTTTCCACATATACTGCAAGGATGGGTGATTTTATTATGTACTACATCCATATGGGTTCGGAGATTTTTTTTTTGTGAAAATTTCTTTCCGCATGCATCGCAGGTGTAGGTGATACCTTGATGCGATGATCGTACGTGTATATTGAGATCACCCTTTTGTTTATATGTCTTTCCGCAGATATCACATGTGTGGTTGATACCTTTGTGAGATGAATTTACGTGCCTAGTGAAATTACACTTAAGATTGTATGTCTTTCCGCATATATCACATGTGTGGATGATACTTTGGTGCACCGAATCAATGTGCCTTCTGAGATTACTCTTATCACAGAATTTCTTTCCACACATACTGCAAGGATGGGTGATTTTATTATGTACTGCATCCATATGAATTCCGAGAGATTTTTTTTGTGAAAATTTTTTTCCGCATGCCTCACAGGTGTAGGTGATACCTTGGTGCGATGACCGTACGTGCTTATTGAGATCACCCTTTTGTTTATATGTTTTTCCGCATGTGTCACATGCATGTTTGTTACCATTATGTACCGTTTTGATGCGGACAGGTAGACAGTCTTTTTTTGTGAATTTTTTTCTGCGTGTATTGCGCGTTTCTCTGACATCACTGGGCACCCTGCCACTATAGGTTTCGAGATAACCTTTCTGGGTAAATATTTTTCCACTTGTCTCTAATACATGGCAGGCTTCGTAGTTCGAATTCAATTCTTTTTTTACATCATTTACAATTTCTGTTTTAATTTTGTTTTGAGCTTGATCATAGTTGCTGTAATTCATATCTTGCAAGTCATTTGAAGAAGGATCCTCAATTTTCTTAACTACTAATAAATCCACGCTCGGCTTCATGTCTCTACATTCAAACTCGATCGCCAACTCGTTGAGTTCATTATCATGATATTTGTTGTGTTCTCGAAGCCTATAAGTCTGTAAAAAAATATTCAAGTTAGTTCAAAGTTTTCCATGAAAATTATCGACCATATTATGAACAGGTAAATATATAGACTCTTACCGGACTTCCTTGAAATTTCAAGAACGGAAAATTGTTTGTATCGAGTGTCTTGTCAATTACGTTACAATTATCTTCAATTAGCGACATCTCTTCAGGTTCCTCCTTCACTCTGTGATAAAATAAAAATTAAATAACTACAATAAGATTGCCTGTTTAGCTATATTTTTATAAGTTCAATTCCCTTAAAATGAAAAATTACCTCACAGCGAAATTGAACAAACCACTGGGTTCCATGTTGCTCGCTTGAAAATTTGCCAATGACTAATCATTCTGTTATAGCGTTACCTACGAAACGAACCAAAGAGTCAACTTGATAATATTTACCAATTGTGGCATAGAAATTTGATCTGTTTAAGCTGAAACGAACATGATCTTTGTTTATTATTGATATGTTGTGTAATAAACAATTCATATTATTCTGTAAACGATATTTAATTGCGAAGGAATATATTATTATCATACTTTCAAATTAAAAAAAAGATTTTGTGTTGCTCGAAGTACACTGAGAAAAAGTACACATATATCTAAACGTTACCCGCTAGGCTTCTCCAGTCGAAAATATAATATCGCACGCCTCGGCCTTTTTAGTTTTCTTATTGATGCTGACAAATTGATGCTCTCTCTCTTCCCTCTCTTTCTCTGCGTTCTATTGCTTATAATATTGCGGTCTTCTGCAAAGGTTAAAGCAAGGTAAGACGTCGAGAGAGAGAGAGAAAAAAAAGCGCCGCAGAGTTCCTGTGAGATTTCACTTCCAAGGAGACAGCAGCAGGTCTATTGCCACCGCTGCAGTGTACCGCCAATTTAACTTTGCTCTTCTTTCAACATCGATCGCGCGTCTGCGACGTCTTAACTGCAATACTACTACTGCTCCCTATCCTCTCTGCCTCCGCTGCTGCTGCTGCTGCGCTTGGGAGAGGCTAATTTTTAATGGAACAATTATATTTGATATAGGTAATTGAAAGTTTTCATTTCCATTCGGTCTCTTTCTATGTCTTCGCGAGTTAATTTACTTATATACCTATATACTTCGGTGTCGATCTCTGCGTATAGCTAGCGCAGAGTACAAATTTAATAGTACTTTCCGCGCGCACCAAACTTTTCGCAGCTTGTGTGCGTCTCTCTCTCTATCTCTCTATCTCGTTCAAAATGCAAAGCAAGAAAATTTTCAATACGCCTGCGCGCGTGGACTAAAAACATAATCTAAGTTGCGCATTACACAAAGGCTTTTTATAAAATTGAACGATCTCGCTCGACGGAAAACGACATCGCGCGCCTATCTCGTTAAATCCGTTTTTTTTTTTTTTTATAAAAATTAGAAGAAGATTTCAATAATATCCTCGGCGACAGCTTCAAAGGTTTAAAGAGTCCGCGCGCGTATACCTCGCTGCGGCGCCGCGCTTTTAATTTTGTAACAGTTATTAAAGTTAAATCCTCGAGCGGAATAATAGATGAACTTCGGGCTTAAGTTGGCTCTCTCGCAGGCGACGAACTTTTAACCAATTTATATCCCTCGCGCGCGCGGCGGAATAAATAAAGCTTTTGCGTGAAATTTTAAGTGTGTATAGTCGCGCGCGGCGCCTCGGGCGAAGCGGGCAGAGAAACGAAAATCTCAAGAAGTTTTTTCCTCCGTCCGTTTATACAAACGAAAACGAACGGCCAGTCCAAGCACATGCTATATTTGCACCATTAGCAGCAAGTAGCATGTAGTCGATTAAATGTATACGTACGCGCGTTTACATCGATGAAAGCAGCTGCTGTGCAGCGAGGAGGGGTCAGTAGTGTATAGATCAATTCCAATAGAAAAAGGGTCGAGGTTGAATTTTTATGCCCCGCTGAACATGCCTTTCCAGTCCAGTGATCGAAGCCGAGAGAGAGAGGGACTGAGACAGAGAGGGAGAATATGTCGCGTTTCAATGAACCCGAGTTGTAGTATAGTACGCCCACCAACGTAACTGCGCGAGCGATCTCTCACCGTATATACAGCGTCAGCAGTCTTATCTTCGACAAACCGAAAGGGCAGTTGTATTATACGTTTCACCCCGAGTTATCGCGAAGACAGATTTTTTTTTTCTCTCTCTCTTTCGCCGAAAAAGTTACTTTGAAATACATACACTCGAGGAGAAGGGTAATTAATTTCTGCTATTATATCGGAGGCCTGTACGTTATTATACTCGAAAATCATTTATCACTCGGGGCTCAACGCGCATATACGTAATACGCAGGCAGCCAGGCAGGCAGTTGCAAATTTTCCATTAGGTAAAAGCTATTGTTTCTTGTCAAACGAGCGCTGAAGCTGCTGCTGCTGCTGCTGCCATGGTTATATTATATAGGTGCAAAGCCCCGCGCATCGCCACCGCCGCAGCCGTCGAGAGAAGAAACTGGAGCAGAAGTAACGCGGACCATATAGCGGCGCCGCGTTCATAGACACATAGGGCTCATAGAGTCTCGCTCATCCGGCAAACAGCGACGACACGTATGGCGACGGGGCGCGCCGCGCAGAACCAGAAGCTCGGTGTACGCGTTCGAGCTTTATCGGGGTTAGCGTACGGCACTCGTATAGAGCGAGAGGGGAAAGAGAAGGAAAAAAAAAAAAGAAATGACAAGCTTCGAGAGCAGCGATCTGTGTGTCCAAACTTTCACAGAAAGAGGGAGAGAGAAAACTACACGATAGTTTCGCCGTAGACATTTTTTTCTCTTGCCTATATATTCGACTCGTTTTACCCCTCGTTTTAACGCCACGACAGAAATTCCGTGTGTAAGCTCATCCGATTTTTTTCTCCGCAAGCATCGAGCAACACAAAGTTTATAATCACTCGAACTTGTTGTCGAGTACTCGACGAATTTTTCTTCTTTTTTTTTTTTTTTTTTGCAACGGGACGAGTCAACACAATTTTCCTATCGCTCGGAAATCTTTCGATATTTGTTGGATTTCGAAATATAAAAAACTTTTTTCTACACTTTGCTCTGTACGCGCGAAGATGTAACGTTAAAAATGTAAGAGAAAAATTCCCGTGAAATTAAATTTTAATGCCGCGCGTTTGAAAAGTTTACAAAAGCGCGGATAACAACAGTCGATTCATCTTAAATTTACATGACTTGCACATCGGGGCCGTGCGTGCACACGCCTAAATATTCCTCTGTCGAGTTTTATTTCGTCGAGCGAACGCGCGCAGTATTATAATAAAAAAGCAAAAGCAAAAAAAGAAAGAAAAAAAAATGTACGCACATCCACCTCGCGCACTGCCAAGGGTTTTACTTTCCTTTTTCTAAAGACATGCAAATTTCCGGGGTGGCAGGGAGGGAGGTCGGATGGGGGGGGGGNCGGATGGGGGGGGGGGGAGAAACTATAATGAATAAAGATAGAAAAGAAGTCGAGAATAACAAGGAGAAAATGATGGAGTAGAAAAGCTTTTAATATTTTATTACCGTATTTTCTACACTGTTTTGCGCGTATATATAGCACGAAAAAAGTAGAGAGAAGAAGAGGAAGAAGAAGCTGCGAGTCTCGTATATATAATATACACGAGATATACGAGTTACGATGTCATTGGAAGTGAGCAGCAGCAGCAGCAGCAGCAACGGAGGCATAAGGAGGAGGACTCGCAGTGCACTGCAAGCCTCTCTTGCACGAGGCAGAGCGCGAGTTTCTTGCCTTGGCGCTACACTTCCTCTAACTTGATATATACTGATGTAATTTGAGGAAATGAAGCGCCTTTTATGCAATCTTAACGATGTTTGAAAGATGTTGCTCCGGGGCGCCAGTGTACACGTATATACTTTGTATATGTGTGTATATGTGTGTATATAGGTAATTCCCAGCAACTTTTACGCTCGCACTCGGGGCAGCAGCAGCAGCAGCAGCTGATCGTAATTTAGTTATTGAGTCGGATGTCAATGTTAATTCAGGGATCTTTCTCCGGGATTGATTTCTATGAACGAGGTCAGCCCTACGCTATGTCAGGACTTATGTATAAATAAGTGAGAGAGAGAGAGAGAGAGAGAGAGAGAGCTCGAAACGAGATGAGAAAAATGTTATTCAAACAATGAGTCAAAGCTCGGCGCGCGGCTAAACCTACAAGATCTCTAATTAGTTTTCTTGCGCGCGCGCAGTTGTACTAGTACCACCACGGCGACAGCTATAGAGCTCTCGGTGCAGCAGCTAATCTATATAACAAAGCGAGAGGGAAAAATCGTATACGTATACATATAGCAACGGGAATCGAGGAGTTAAATGGGAAAGAGGCGTATACAGTACGGAAAAGGGAGAGGGTGTGCAGAGGTATAAGGTACTCTTTGAAAAAGTGGAAATAAAAAAAAAAAAAAAAACAGGAAAGGAAGAGAAAGCTCGAGGGCGCGACACACACATAGTGTCACTTATATATGTATCCTTCGTCAAGTTTATATAATTAGTAGTACGATAGTCATCTTCGAGGGAGCCATAGCACTCGACTTTCATACTTCTACACGTGGGCTTGTATATTTGTATTAATTAGCGCCATCTCTCATACGCAGCAGCCGCACCGAGAGGTGAATGCGCGCTCGTATATACACCGTGATTGGAAAGTAGTTTAACGCCCGAAACAGGCGTGTAGTCGGTGAATTATGGGACCAGGGAAAATTTTCAAAAAAATTCTAGGAGCAATATTAAGCGAGAAAAAAAATAATTAAAAATGCCTGTTTTTTGCTTCAAAAGGATTATTTTGATCCTGGTTGTCATGGAGCTGATGAAGGCGATCGGCTGCCACATGCGATCGATCGATAAATAAACAAACAGCCGAGCCACGTGCTTGGCTAGAAATTGACAGGCCGAGGTTATACTTGCAACGATAATTGGCTAAACTTATAATCATACGAAGTATGATTAAAAATGAATAATTAGCCTGTCATTTTAAAGGAAAGTTATGAAAATTGTGTTTGTGTGTGTGTGTGTGTTTGGAATTGTGTTGCAGTAAATTCTTACAGTGGCAGCACATCGTGTCGGCTAGTCTGGACTAGCCGACGGAGACCACTGCGGTGCCGCTGACAATAATTATCGAGTCGGCTGGACCTGGTTAGCCAACGTTTGGGTTTTT